AAGAGAGAGATCTCTGCTTGCGAATTAAATCTTCTTCTCGTTGTTCGAAAAAAGTATCTCAGAAGAACATCATTTCCAATTGTAGTTTTTTTCGGTTTAATTGCCCGCTTGTACGAGCTTCGCCGAGGCCCTGTTTTTTCAACGGTCCACCCACCCCACGCCCCATCATTATTTAGCGACGCCAGGGGTCCTCGCCACTTTAAAACCTCTTTCGGGTGTGAAACGCCCGCCGTAAATCTGCCCAACTGTCAAACGGGGATCCTTCCCAGCGAGGCCAGCCCAGGCCCCCAGCTGCGCGCAACAGGTCTCTCGCGGCGGCCACGGTGACTCTCCGCGCGCCGTGGGGAAACCATCGTACGCAGCCGCGCTGCTGCTTGCTGCCGCTGCGCTGCCGCTGCCGACTGCTGCGGAGACTATATATGGGCAGGCAGGCGGTCGGTCGCGCGCGCTCGCTCGCGTCAGGCGGCGCGGCGGAGGCGCGCGCCCACTCCGCCGCCGCGCCGCGTCGTCGCCTCCGCGCGCCCGGGATCCGCGCAGCGGCGGAGGTGACGTCGCAGCTGCCCGCGGCGCGAGGCTGGCTGCAACAGGACAGAGCCTCCTCGCTCTGCTTTTTCGACCTCCGGATGCGACACCGCCAAGAGCACATCCGCCGTTTCTAAACGTCGCCTGCAATCCAATCAGCTGTTGCTAAAACGATGCTTTCCTGAGAGAGGATTACATGAGCATTTAAACGTTCATGCGGGAGTGGGGAATTTTAATTTTAAAATCGTCTCGTTTCATTCAATATCAGATTTAAACTGACAAAATCTAAAAATAAATAAGTAAATAAGTAAAATTTTTTTTTAAAAACCATCAGGAAACTTTTAACAACAACTTGAGTTATCTGAATTCGATAATTCAAAAATTATCTATTTTTCTTTATTGATGAAACTCGATTATATTGTTTCAACCCCTTCGTCACTTTGCTCTGGAGAATATTCAACTTACAGGTACCTGAAAATTATAATAAATAAGTGGACTTTTTTCATTTAAAAGAATGTCCGATCTCGTAATACCCGACATAAACATCGATGTTTTAAATAATCGATATTTTGATGAAAACCATCGTCATTGAATGTTCGCATCCCTACTACCCTACTACAAATAACTTCAGTTTTAAGTTAGTGCAATTGAACTAACCGCAGGACGCGGTTATCTATCTAATCCGGAAGCTTCAATTACAACTTAATTGTGGTGTGGGAGCTCCCGATTGGATAAACTCGTCCCAGCTGAATCGTACGTCAAAAGTTACTATTTAAATCGAGATCCCTAGACAGGAAGGGAATGTCTAGCCGTGCAGCTTACTCTTTGTCCTAAGCGGTTGTTTATTGCGTGTTCTGCGATCAGTATGAGGCGAATGCCGGAGGCAATATCTTAACCAAAGAGCCACGGACCAAGCGCTATCCTTCCCTATGGTTCGTCCCCTGTCATCTTCTTTCCTTAACACATAAACTTTACACTTGCACTAATCAACACGTCGGGAAATAGTTGGCGAGCTTTGATCTTATCTCGGCTGGGGCGATGCCCAGGCGGGGGGGAGATACGCACATGGAAAAATCTTCGCAAGCCGACGGGCAGGTCTTCGCCCGGATCTCATGTTCCAGCCAGGCATTCACATGCCTTCCGGCCAAATGACGTACGTAGCTATCAGTCGCCGGAATCAATATTAGCTCACAGTCTCTGCTTCTGTCCAGTCCTTGGGGTGGATGCAATATCTTAAACATCGTGGGAACTGACGAGAAGAGATTGACGGGGGTGCACCCTCTTCCCTTGAATGATTTGCGGTGCTCTGTTGGAATTGAATTGTGTGTCGCGCGCAGCGCGTGTGCGTGTGGCCGTGTGCGTGTGCGCGTGCGTGTGCGCGTGCGCGTGCGCGCGCGCGTGCGCGCCGCGTGGGCGTGCGCTGTGCGTGTGTGCGTGCGTGTGTGTGTCGTGTATGCCTTCGCCAGCAGGGTAGAGGGCGTGCTCCATCTCCAGAATTTTGATATAAGACTAGCCGGTAGCCTTACCGTTGGTAAACATAATTTTCGTAAAAGGTGTTCAATCCTTAATTTCCCCCTTATTAACATGACAAATTTGGATAACTGCAATAAGACATTTGGAAACGGCTCTTCCAAACCTCCAGTATCCCTGACATTGTCCAGCATAAAATCAATCGTATTTATTAATTGTGTCCCTTCGTATAATTTTCCATACTCCTCTAATTTTAAATTTATTTTCTTGTAAAGTTCGAACTCTTTGTATAATATAAATTTCATTGGGAGATGGGGGCCCCAGAAATGTAGTGTCACCCCTCTTGTTTGAAGATGCGCCCGCAGTTGCTAATATATAAATTTAATTTGAGCTCGAATCCAGCCATGTCCCTAGGCACTGCGCGTAGCCGAAAATTTTCTTTCGTTTCGTTCTTCTTGGGATAACTCTTGTGCGAAACCCAGTTACGGAATTTTTACTTTAGATCGGATGTTTTAGAAAGGCAATGTGATTTTATATTCACGTTATTTTAGACGAAATGTAAAACTAA